TCTTTATATTACCTTATTGGTTCCTGTAAATATTTGTTGTCTGTGATTTCAAGCATCAGAATAAGCTTCCATCCTCAGGATTTATTTTTGGCAAGATAATTTCCTTTTCCTAAATGGAAATTGCCTGCTAGAGAGTCAGCAATGGTAACACAAATTCATATACCTGTCTTCATCTGCTATTTTCAAAAGCCCAAAGAAACAGCAACAACAACAAAAATAATACCTGATTATACCAAAACAGAAAAGAGCAAAACAAATCAACTTTGACCTAAATAGAGAAAAATAATCCTCCCTCTTTTTTAGCTTCAGAATGATAGCATACTTCCTAAAGCCTTACCATAAATAGCGTTATTTTCAACATGGCCAATTTTCTAATATACATATACTCATATAAAACAGGGATCTTAGAAATCAGCAGTTTCAGTTCCAGGTCTTCTGAAAGCTCATAGAATTCTGCTGAATTCTTACTGACAGCTTTGGGGATTGTACCTTTGATGGTAGGGCCAGCTTTTCTTACAAATTTTTCCTTTCCTTCAATTTGAAAATAATATGTACTACAAATGCTTTGGTTTCTTATAATTGCCATCATACAGTTAATGAAAACTAAATTTTATTATAATAACACCTAAGTATGAACCTAAAATTCAGATTGTCCTGGTTTGTTTTTGCAAAACTGGTGTAAGTTCCCTAACAATCTGATCATTGAATTTATACTTACTCTTTACCCAAGGTTAAACATATCATAATTGGACAGTGTCCCAATAAAATAATGTTATGTATTATATCCAGTCTCTCAATGCTCATCAGGATTTATTCTCGTGCTTATTTTACTATACTTGTTTTTTTTTTTTTTTTTGCCTTTTTAATCTTCTCATGTTTGCCTTCAAATGATTAAGAAAATGGAGTGCGGATAATAAAATGAGAGGAGTCCAGTTGCTTCGTTAATATAAAGGACATTCCACTACTTTAAAAAAAAAAAAAGTTTGTGATTTGAGATCAAATGGGGAAGATAAAGTTGAAAAGTGCTGACATGTTACCAAATCATCAGCATTGTGAAACAGCAGGTGCTGGAGCCATTCTAGATACTCATTTATGTTGACATTTTTAGGACACAAGGGAGAAAGTGTGGCTGTCAGTTATCTTATTTTGTTACTTTTGTAAAAGATCTGCTGATTCCTTGTGTGTAGCTCAGGTATCATTTCAAGTTTTTCCTTGCTCTAAGCATCACGTCATCAGCCTGGCATCCTGTGCCTATCTCTAACTGTACTATTTCCTTTCTTCTCAATTTATGTGACTTTTTTCAAGATACTTCAGTATTTTATCTCATTTAGCAGCAACAACATTCATGTATAAACAGAAATAATTTTGTTCCTTCATTTCATCAAAAGTCATATGCTGAAGATTCCTTTATTTATTTATTTATTTATTTATTTATTTATTTATTTATTTTTTGAGACGGAGTCTTGCTCTGTCACCCAGGCTGGAGTGCTGTGGCCGGATCTCAGCTCACTGCAAGCTCCGCCTCCCGGGTTTACTCCATTCTCCTGCCTCAGCCTCCCGAGCAGCTGGGACTACAGGTGCCCGCCACCTCGCCCAGCTAGTTTTTTGTATTTTTTTAGTAGAGATGGGGTTTCACCGTGTGAGCCAGGATGGTCTCGATCTCCTGACCTCGTGATCCACCCGATTCCTTTATTTTCTAATGCAGGCACTGGGGTATAAAACCTAATAAAATATGGTGCATAGACTGGGGAGGGTGACCATTTCTCCTACTGTGCCTTGTCTCCAAAGAAAAGGAGGAAGTAAAAACTGAAAAATAACAGACTGATTGGTGCCACTGGCCAGGACTGCAGGTTAAAGATTAACCCCTACCCTAACCACTTGTGCTATCTATAGACCACAGACAATGGTATGGAGAAATACTTGCCTTGCTCACCACCCCCATCTAGTCACATACCCCATGCTTGCTTTGCTCAATCTATCATGACCCTGTCACGTGGACCCCTTAGAGTTGTATGCCCTTAAAAGGACCAACAACTCTTTCTTCAGGGAGCTTGGTTCTTGAGATGCAAGTCCGCCGATGCTCCCGTCCAAATAAATCCTCTTCCTTCTTTAACCCATTGTCTGAGGGGTTTTGTCTGCAGCTCATCCTGCTACAAGACAACTCAATGTGCAAGGAAAAAAGTACTGATAATGACAAGTAAAGTGATACAGGTTACAGAAGATGGGCATTCATATCACTTAGGGCAGTGGTGGTTCTCAATCTTGGTCGCACATTATAATCACTGGGGAGATGCTAAAATCTCTATCTCCAGGTGCCACCCAACATCAGTTAAATCTGAATCTCAGAGGATGGGACTCAGGACCCAATATTATTTTTAAAACTTTCTAAGTGATTGCAATGTGAGACCAAGTTTGAGAACCACCAGTCTGGATATTCAAATATGAATTCCCAGGAGAGTTGAGACTTGAGGTTTTCTTTTTTAGAACTATGAAGAAGCAGAGAATGTCATAATAGGAAGAAAGCATACCTTTTTAAAGAGTCAAAAGACTGAAAAACAACATGACAAATTTAGCAACTCACAAGTTATTCAGTATGGCAAAAGAAAAGATAGTGAATAGAAGATTATAAGGCTTGAGGGAAGGGTAGGCACAAAACTAATACTAAAGGACCTCGACCTATTTATTTCCAATATAAATGATTGTTGTAGCAACAAGATGGGCATGGGAAAAAGGAAGTGAGTTTAGTGTAGTGAGAAAGGAATAGAAAAATAGAGATGGAACAGTAGAAGTGGGTGGCTATGAGGAAGAAATGTAAAACCAAAGTGTATAGGCTAGTACCCTTTGGAAGGAGCCAGAAACTGAAATGATCAAAGGCAGAGGGATGGGTTGGGGAATGGGGTAAGACAATTTTTGATTGAGGTAGGTCAGGTTTGATATTCAGTATTGAAACTAGGTGTAGAATGAGTGTTTCATTTTGTGAATCTCCCATGGTGTGGATTGGGGGGCTGGAAAAGAGGGTAGAAGGAACTAGATAAGAAGGTGCATATCCTCTGTTACCTGGCTGGAGGGATCTGGGCTCAGTTTTCAGGCATGGAGATTCACCTGGGCTGAGGAGTAGATAGTGAGGTTGCTACTTAATGCTCACTTTAATACTCAGGGATTGAAATCTATGTTTCCATATCTCTTCATGCTCTCCACTCTGCATTTCCCCCACATCTCCTGTACATCAGTCTGAGTATGGAGAGAAACCATACACCTATTTCTAAATCCAATTTGCTATTGGAGAAGAAACTCCTACACACAATTGATTAAACAAGACTTTCTGTGATTCAGGGAGTGGACACAGCTGAGCATATAGAGAATAGGCTCTCATTATTCAAACATGGAGGCATATGGAGATTGATAGTGATAGATTCTCACTGACCCATTTACTTCTTTTATAGGATTACATAATGAGAACTATGGTTTGCACTTGGAAAGGGCATCTCTCTTACATGGGATATAGTTTGTAGCCATGTAAAAGAGACTATCAATTATTCATAGAAGGTTATTGCTCACACCCTCAGGCTGATTTGCATGAATGAATGAGCTGATTTAACTGATTAGCCATAGACAAGTACTGATAAATACACCACCACTCTGTCACCCAGACTGGAGTACAATGACATGATCTTGGCTCACTGCAACCTCTATGTCAGGTTCTAACTGACGTCTGAGGGGAGTTGGCAGGGTGAATGGCAGGTAGTTGGAAAACCACTTGAGGAATAGTAGACAGTTTTTACATGGCTTTACTCTTTCTCTGGGTGTGAGCAAGCTGTATGTACAGCATCAGCAGCATAGTTATACCTTTTACAGACAATAGTGGTTCTGAGCCAAGCATGAGCTCATGTGGGTGATCACCTAATGCACCTCACGTGGCATGGTTACATAATGTGTGGGGTTGTGCACCTGAACTCCAAACCTGCTGAGTCATGCTGCGCCAGAAGGCTGCCTTGGTCTACTCCTGACTAAAGAGCAGCCATTTCCCTTACACTCCACCCCCTAGGCTGAGGGCATCCTCTGGGCAGGGACACGTGCCCATAAGGCAGAGCCCTGAATCCATAACCCACAACAACAATACAGAGAGCAACAGCTCACTGCTAGGACACCAGATATGCTACTTACGACTATTAGGGTCCATTGTAGGCCAGAGCCTAAGGGTGCCTACCATCTCTGCAGGGGGTCATCAGTAAGGCTCTTGACTCCATTAATCTCTTGTGAGAACTGTTGCAGGACTGCTATTATGTTTGCCAATTGTCAGCGATAAAGGTACCACATTGTGTTCCTAAAAGGGAACAGGGGCCTCCTTGGGCAGTAGTTATTATGTCTAAGGCCATTTGGTTTTGCAACACCACCTTTCTGATCTGACCAGTAAAGTGTTAACAGGAGGAGGGCCACTCGGGTGTAATTCAGAGGCTGAGTGGTGTGCTCTGCAAGAGCAGTAACTTGTGCTTATGACACCCACTCCAGAGATAGTCATTGCCAAGGAGTAGAACCACCAGGGTGCTCGTCAAACTTGCAAAAACCAAGAGTGCAGTGCTTCCTAGTTATGTGGGTGTCTGGACAATATGGGGAGAACAGTGGCAGGTACATAAGGACACCCCCAGATACAACGTCTAGTCCAGTCCGCTGATAGGTAAGGCCACCTTGTGTCCCCACAGACCCATAAACCCCTAGGAGGCATAAAGTCCATTGGAGCTGACCTTAGTGGGGCTGCTTGTTCTACCATACCTTCTGTGTGGTGATACATGTTATGTTTTCACAGGCTGTGATGGGTACCCATCCCACGGTGGTATTACTCAATGTTGCTCTATGCACTATGGTGCCTGGGCCAGGGGTACTACATGTTCCCCCACTAGCCAGCCTCACCCATCATAAACACTATGGGCCAGCAAGGGGGGGCAGGTGCACCATGGGTTTTGCGGCATCCTTTGTTCAAACCTTGCTGCGTTGTGTTCCAGGTGTCGGCCATCGGACCCCAAGTCTCCAGCCGTGTTATCTGCAGACTGTGATTGTATGTGCCAAGGTAAGTCATCACAGAAGCTGCTGCTGGAAGGGCAGTGCAGATCCATCTGTTGGAAACATTGGTCACCTCAGTGTAGGTGTGGGCCCAGTCCATAATGCAGTTGGAGCATGTTAACTTATGGTCAAGATCACAGCGCAGGCACAGATACTAACAGAGGTAAATCACATCTCTCAGGCAAAATAGAGGCTAATCTTTCATCCCTGAATAACAATGCAACCACCCAGGGCTTTTGCCCTGGGCGATGGTACCACATCTTCTCAGCTCGCCATGGTTCCTTTGAGTCCTGTATCTGGGCCAAAGTCACAGGAGAGCTCATAATATGCCACACAGACAGTACATATATTCCCTGGAGGAGGGTTCCTTCCCTGGCCGTTCCACTATGAACAGTCAACTGTGTGGGGCTTGTTTTGAACACCCAAGGAGTGACATGCAAGTCATATTGTAAGTCCTCCTCCAGGGAGCTACAGTGGCCAACCACCGGCATTGACTGCGGGGGTAGGGGGTGGTTAGAGGGTCCATGGCCACAGCCAGGTTTTCTGTTCTCCTGCCTTCAGGGCACTGGGACGGTCAACAACAGGTTACCATTTGTCCCTATACCTGGTCGGAGGAGGTCATCCTTGGTACCTACCTGCAACTGAATGGGGGCAGGGCCAGGCCGCCTTTCCATGCCCATTCATTCAAGGTTTGGAGCACCGGGTCCAGTCTGGAACTCCAGCCCCACAAAGATAGGGTTGTGACTTGCAAGCATAACCCATTCTTCAAGAGCTCATTATATCACTCAGTCATACCCACAGCTTGCAGGTTGTATGGCACATGGAATCCTCACTTTATGTCTGTTTGTTGTGCCCATTGTTGTACCTGTTGTCTAGTGAAATGTGTTCCCCTATCACTCTCAACGACCAGAGGGCGAACATACATAGCACATAAATGTTGCAGGGCCTGGATGGTGCTCTGCTGGTCAGCCGCCCTGCAAGTGTAGGTGAACAACAGGCCTGTGGCTGTGACCATAGCTGTTAGTGCATGAGTATACCCTTGTGACTTTGACAGAGGCCCTATGTAATATACTTGCCATCTAGTCAAGGGCACTTTCCCTATCATCACTTGTTGTGTAACACTGAGCATCTGCCTCCATTTAGGGTATGCCTGAGCTGGGCATTTCTGGCAAGCCTCCCAAATATCTTGTGTGGGCAGGGACAGATCCCAACGTTTATTGACCTGTTGCATCAATTTACCCTCGGCATGTCCAAGTTTCTGGTGTAGCCACAAGGCCACATCTCATGTAGGTACTGACTCTAACCATCGGACCTTGGCTGAGGCATCTGCCTCATCATTGCTGGGGGTGGCCAAAGGCATATGGCCTGACACACGATAAATAGTTACATCTTTCTGATGACCCATTTCCCAGAGGTCTTGCCACATGGCTTGGCCCTAGATGTGTTAGTGGCCGACTAGTCACTTCTGTATTTTCCAGGTAGTTAACAATAAGGTTAAGCCTTGACAGACCACCCAGCTATTGGTACAGATTACCATAGGTGTCACCCCTTTGGTGAGCACCATCCATACTGCTCTAAGTTCAGCTCATTGGCTACTTTGTCCATACCTGGTTTCAAACCATATGATGTCAATACTTGGTTGGACTGCAGCTCCAAGCAACAGTAGCACCTTGGCTAGACCCATTAGTGTACCATGCCCTATTAGGAAGGGGGGACGCCCTTCCTTAAATGGTGAAGGCTCAGAGTCTAGGTGCTGCTCAGGTCCCATGGCCTTATCTTGCATTAGGACTACAGGTCCCAAAATCTGTGACAACTCTGCTGCTAAGGGACTTGTACTCCACTGCTCCAAGTAGGCGCTCACTTCACCAAAGTGGACGTCTATGCCATCCCAGTCCAGGGGGTCGTTACCCATGAATGCACCCATCCCGCTATCAGGTAAGTCATCCACATGACAACTGCAGCCCATCCTGTCACACTCTCATAAGCCTGAAGGGCGGCATATACAGCTGCTAGCTGTTTCTCTGTCAAGGAAAACTAGAGCTCGGCTTCCTTCCATAGTTGGGACCAAAAGCCTACTTGCATTCTCAGCCACTCTGTGTACTGCCACAGGCCTCAACCAAAACCATCTGTGGTCACATGCACATCCGGCTCAAACGGGCACCCCTGGTCAACTACCCATAGGATTTGTGCCCGCTGAATAGACCACTTGGCTGCTAGGAAGGTGGTCTCAGCCACATCATCCCAATCCCAGGTAGAGCCCTTCTTTGTTAACAGATGCAATGGTTTTTATCATATGAGCTAAATGGGGCACAAATGTCCACCAGTATCCCAGGAGGCCCACAAAAGTTTGCAGCTGCTTCACCATAGAGGGCCGGAGATATGTCTGAACCTTATAAATGATAGCCTCTCAGATGGCCTTTGTCTTACCTGACCGGATAACTTCCAAAAATTTGGCAGATAATCCAGGTCCTTGGACCTTGGATTCATTAACAGTCCAACCACATGCTACCAAATGTTGCTGCAAAAGGGATGCAAGATAATCAGAGATTAACATAATATCATCAATATATTAGAATAGGCAGGCCCCTTCTGGACATTGCCAGGTGGCTAAATCTGTGACAATGAGACCATGACATATGGTGGGGCTATGCACAGAGCCCCGTGGCAACATTGTGAAAGTCCATTGTTGCCTGTCCCATGTGACGGTGAACTGTTCCTGGCTCTCTGAAGCAATGTCAATGCAGAAAAATGCATTGGCCAAGTCTACAAGTCCACTACATAGTGGTATGGTCCCAGTTCCATTCTCATATGGTTCATCAAATCCATGATTGATGGTACAGTTGCATGCAAAGGGGGTGTTATTTTATTCAGTTCCCTATAGTCTGCCGTCATCTGCCAAGTTCCATCAGGCTTTCTAGCTGGCAACACTGGAGAATCGTAGGGGCTGTGGGTTCCTCGCACTATCTGCACCTTCTCCAGCTTTTTAATTGTCTCAGTTATCTCTGTATGCCCATCTGGCAAATGATACTGTTGGGTGGATGTAACTCGTTGGGTTTGTGGCAAGACCTGAGTCTGGCGATGTGTATGTCCACACAGTACCAACTTCATCACACACACTCAGGGTCTGAATTCCCCAGTCATGGTTTGTAACTCCAGGCCATCTAAATGGTCCACCCCCAGAATGTATTCTGGTATGAGATAGACATACACAGTATTTAAATGGGGAGCCAAATGGCAGATACCAAGGTGAAGAGATACAGGTTTCACTGTTAGTAACCAGTCTCCATAACCATCAATGTAAGCAGGTTTGCCCAGAAATTTATCTGGTTTCTCATAAACAAGCCTGCGATCTGCACCAGTATCCACCAGCAATAGCACCCACTGTACGTTGGTGGGGAACCAGTGGATTGCTAATTCCACATGTGGCCTCTAGTCATCTGGTGTCCTCCCGAGCCAGGCACCTTGGCCAGTTCCATAATCAAACAGGAAAGGCTCTACATTTCTGGTTGGCTGCAGGAAGTAGTCTTTGAGCTGAAGCTCCCAGGCGGGACCGGGTCACACAGAAATGTCCTTCCCCTTGGGCATTTTCTGCAATTGGTGCTGCAGGGACAATTGTCTCCACAAAGTTAAGAGTACTTCATTGGGCTGCTTATTGATTTTCTCTTGGTCGACTTTGGCCAGAATCACATCTATCCACATCTGTGAGCATGCCATTCATTGGGACTCCCTTTTCTCCCATGGGATGGGGGGGCCCCACAAGCGGGACATCTTCCCCTTCTTTACTGCACAGATCCCTCGGTCCCACCGATGGCCTTCTGCTTTCCCGAGAGCTTCCATAGCAGTGGTCACTTCATGTATTCAGCACACTACATATGGGGTGAGGACAGCAGCTAGGGAGCAAAAGGCACTCGGGGGAATGGAACCCAACACGAGATCCCTCATGTGGGAGGCAAAATGTCCATCATCTGGCCCATGGGTATTCAGGTCAAACATAGCCTGCCACATACCCATCTCCCCAGTGACTTGCACAAAATCGGCATATGACTGCCATTTAGTCACGATTTTGGGTATTTCACCAGTGTCATTCCACAGTTTGTATGGCTTCCCATAGTCACTCAATCAGGGTGTGGTCATCTTGCCCTTGCGCCAGCCTCCTGCTCACCTGCAACTGTTGATGGAGGGACGGGTGAATCGTAATCGAGGTTAGCTTTTCCATCTCAGAGGTGGAACAGAAGATACTGTCTGCTCTCTTTGCCCAAAAACAAAGCATCCATGCAGGCAGAGGTTCCCCTAGACCCTGGAGGCACTGCTTTCCTAATTCGCACAACTTAGTTGGGGTAAAGGCAGTGTATGAAGTATGTTTCATTACAGTGTTGGGTCTCTGAGCCTGCTCTTGGGGCCCCAATGGCTGTTCATGATCTACCTTCTGACAGACCACTGGGTGAACTCGCAATGGGGGTTCTTCCTCCTCCGTATCAGAGTGGGAATCTCTGGCTGAGACCAGGGACTCAGGCTTGCATTCACAGCAGCCTCAAATTCCTTTTCCAAGCTCTGTAGCCAGGTCTCCAGGTGCCCTGCCTGCATCTGGAAGTCCCCATTCATGGAAGTTTTTAACTCTTTTTCTGAGCTGTGTAGCCAGGCCTCGAGGCCCCATGTCTGCACCTGGAGGGCCCTTACCCGTGCTGCATCCCTCGGGGACTTGGTGTATACTTCTTGTAGCACAGTAAAAAATGCCCATCTAACTCTGCCGGCAAAAGCTCGCTCCTTCTTGGTGCTGTGCACTTCTGGCTGCTTCAGTGCCTTTTCCATGCCCCTGAGGGACCCATCTACCACTGCCCAGGTTTCTACCAGAGCCCATCTGAGCAGCACAGCTGCCACTGGGTACCACAGCTCATGTTGCAGCCACTTGACCCACCCAGAGGCAGCAGGGACTGAAGGCTCACTCACCTCAGGATCCTGCTTGTGATGCCAATTGTCAGGTTCTAACTGAAGTCTGAGTGAAGTTGG